TTTGCTAAAATAAAGAAACATAATATAAAATATGTCATTAACATAATTACGTTTTATTGAAATATGTCCAGATGAGGAAGTTTCCAGAATTTGAAAAGATCTTGGAATGTGAGTTCCCCTGTTTATCAAAAAAAAGAATATTCTTTAAGGTGTTAAAGTGACATATTTTTCTTCAAAACTCCTCATTGTTTATTATTAAGAGTCCTCATTGATAAAAAGTTTCCAGAATTTGAAAATATTCCGTGGAATATTATTTCACCATTTTATCAAGAGAGGATGTAAAGAATATTCTTTGCCTGTGAAAGTGACATATTTTTCACGATTATCTTCAAGAATCTTCATTGTTAATTGAGCTCAATTTGAAACTCAACAACGCAAGAATTTCTACGTACCAAGCCAACACTTGAACTATTATATCAGACTTAAATAAAGACTGATAACTCTTAAAGTATCCAAATCCAAAACTAAGCTTTTAATTCCTCTTGACGGTTTGTACTTAAAATATAAATTTGAAATTTATGATGGTTTGGAATTAATTTACTTATTTTATATATATATATATATATTCGCAACTATTATTTGTCTTTCGAAATTCTAATTATTATTATAAAAATAGTTTTTAAATTAATATCCTAAAAAGTCTTTAGAAGTCAAATTAAAAAAATCTTGTCGCATCCTGCAGTATAAATCTTCGAGGCGAAAATTATTTTTAAAACTTGTCAATTAATATTATTCGTCAAAGGTAAGATTGAAGAAGGAAAAACAATATATTATTATTAGATTATTTTTTTTTTAATAACGAGCAAAAAAAAAAAAATCCGTTCCAATGTGCACTTGAATGACCATTCCGTAATCTTAGTTTTCCTGAGATTCCATGAAAATGCTCGGAATTGCAGGAAAATAGTCGAACAGTTACTAAAAACTCGTAGAATCATTAAATGTCGGAAAGAAAGATAATTTTTGCAGCCTAGAAATCTCCGGGTCAAAGAGTGATTACATAAAAACTCGATTCGAGCGTTGCGTGTAGAAATATATCGGTATTAAAAAAAAAAAAATAAATAAAAAAAAAATTAAAAAAACTGGAGAAATCGAATAATAATAACTATAATAATAACAGTGGAAGACATAGGGATTTTAAAAACCGCGTGTAAATTCGCAACATTTCTTTGTCATGAACTTTCAAGTATACCGCCTTGAGAGAGAGGTAATTTTTGAAAAGAATTCTGTTGGGGAAAAAAAAAATAAACATGTTTCAAAAAATTTTGCAGAAAAGAAAATCACAATTTTTTGTTCCCAAATGAAAAATCTTTTCAAGAGAACTCCGTTACATTCCGCAAAAATGTCGCCACTATTTATCTTCTTTTTTTTTTCTTCTACTTTTTTGTAAAAATATTTTTTTAAACAAAATTGTGTTTAAAACTTGGAGTTTTTTTTTTTTAAATTAAAGTTTTAAAAAACGTTAAAAAATTTTTTTATGTATAGTAAAAAATATTTTTTCCCTTAAGAAAAAGTTGTAGAAACTTCAAATATAGGTACAATAACATGTTCAAAACTTTTTTTTCCCCCTTTTAAAAAAATTTACGTTGAAAAAAACATACATACATACATATATTTCACATATAAGTACGCATAATTTACTCTGATTTCTTTTAATTTTGACTACACAGCTATATTATTAAACTAAAGAACATTAGATCTGTTGTTATGTGACTTAAAAATTACATTCAGTGTAGCTCTCGAAAGCTTAATTTTTTCCTGCTGCCCTAATCCAAAAAAAGTGCGCTCTGTTTTGCATTAAAAAAAATAATGCTAAGGAATGTAAAACAAATTGATGCTGAAACGTTTCAAATATTTTTAACATAACAATTTTCTGATGTTAGAATCGAACAAAAATTTTGGTTTCCATTGTCTTTAGGGGGTCTAATAAGTAAAGAAGTATGTATTACCACATATATCACCCAAGAGTGACCTTAATACGCATGAGTACAATATTTTTAGAATTATTTTGTCATCCGAACATTTTTTAAATAAGAAAATAAAATAAGAGTGCTTAATGAATAGGGAATCTTATGCCAACTTTAAAAGGTTATGATCAATTTTTTACTCTCCTTTGAAATGAACTCATTTGTCGACGGGTTATTTTTTTTGTCCCCTTTTCTTCTCCTTTCTTTTTTTCTTCTTTTTTAACGACATTATTGTCTGGAAAAAGTTAGATGCTATAATGAGCAGACGATAATGAGTTATCTCTAATGTAAATCATTCACGCTTATAATGTCTTTGCCAGAAATGATGCTGTTCCGTCTAAAATCAGTGATGCAATAAAAAGTAATTAAAGTTAACGAGAAACTACTTTTTTACTGTATTTAATTTTTCTTGCAACATTGCATGGATTAAGAAAAAAATTCACTCGAAGTAATTAAATCCAAGGGGAAAAAAATGGTCACTAAGTTAGTTATAAAAAGAAAAAGTTGACCCTGGCGTTATTTACTGGTCAAAAAAATCATTACCGTTTAGTACAATATTAATATATAATAGGGTATTGTATATATATTAATATATACAACGTATAAAAATATATAATTATATATTAATATATATTGTATATATTAATATATAATAGGGTATAACTATTGTATTGTGTTGTTATGATAATAGAAGTTTTTAAAAAAAGTAGTTTAAAAAATGTTATGTAATGACCACCCTTAACGTATATATTTTGTTAATTGGCCTAAAAATGAAGTTAAAAAAGGGTTCTGCGTAAAAGAAAAGGTCGAATGAAAATCATTAAGTGAACAGTTTTCTTTCCTGGTGGGGCTCGAAAGCTAGCATTTCCCTTGCAAACGCGTTTAATCTTCAACTTCAAGTTAACTGGTTTTAGATGATTTCAATCCCTCCCTTGCTCTGCGTTCTTTGAAAAGATGTTAAAAGTTTTATAAAAAACAATACAAAAGTTTTCGATCATTTTATGGTAAATAATTTTTAAGAATTATATTTCGAAGTTAAAAGATCCAAATTCGTGACAAAAAAAAAAAGAAATAAAGTGAATACAGAATATCATGACTGCTCTCTATTTAATTAATAAAAGTAATATATACCTTTTGAATCATTAAGATTACATTTTAGTATGAAAAAATCTGATGATTAGTTCAAAAGTTATTTAGGGTTATTGGCTTTTTCCTCTTAAATGTCTTTAAGTAATTTCTTAATCCAAGAATTTTTGAATTGCCTCATAAACATAACCCAAGTATATATGACAAATATTTACAAATTCGTAATGATGTTTATTAACTTTTATTCCTAGTCTTTAATAAAATCTCGCCTTTCATAAAAAAAAAAAAAAAAATTATGTGTTTAGAGTTTTAATTAAATTTTTTGCATAGATAAAAAAAGCCCTAAGATTATAAGTCTTTAAACAACGAAAGTAAAAGCGAAGAAAAATATGACACTCAGAAAAACTGTTTGCAGATTAAATTAGTTAGAAAGAAAAAAATACATACTACTAGCCAATTATCAACTACTTTTTTTATTTTATTTAATAGTAAATTAATGCATGATTTTATTAATATTATATACTTTAGTAGAATTAAGTAGTATGTACGCCTTAAAATTTTGCTGATTTGAATTTCGTTTTGACTTCTAAATACAGCTTTCAGTTTGGATTCCGGTTAAAATTTATAATAACATGCAAACGGTAGATTACGGGGCTTCGTGCTGCGAGTTAAATTATTAAATTACGTTTACCGTAATGAAGTGGGAAAAAATAAAACAATAAGTCATTAGGTATAAATACTATTCGTAATTTCTTTACAATAACTCTCCAATACTGTAATCGACCAAAACTTTTGAAAAGAAAAGAAAAAAACATTGAATACTACAATGCTTTAAATAATTTTTCTTCCATCAGCTTGGATGGGTCTCTCAAATTTTGCTTATAGTATTTGACGACGGAGCAGCCAAGAATACCGGTAATAATTTTCCTTTTTTAAAAGTTTCTAAAAATTGAAAAATGTGTTCGAATGTCAAATTTTAGCTAATTTTTTAAACCCCGAACCCTCTGAAATCGGCCAATAAGCAACTCAGCGTTTCCTCACATGATTGTGATTCTTAGCGTAGTATCTGCAATAACAAATAAAAATCTCCATTTAAATGTCCGTTTGGCAAGCTTCCGTGAAAGAAATTATTTTTATTAAAATATTTGATGAATTTAAACTGTTTAAGTATGAATTTGAATCTTAAGATTTAGCTGGAAAGCCATCAACCATTTATTTTTTTTGTTTTCTGGAAATGAAAAGGCAATACAAAATCATCCGTTTTTTTTCTTCTGCTTAGGTCAGTCTCCTTTTGACAAACAACTACATGACTTGTCAGCAAACGTTGACATATTGTTTATTTTTTTCCCCTTCCTCTTTAATTTTTTTATTTGTAATTCTAATGGGTTTCTAATTCGCAATGATCTAAATTCAATTCGATATATTGCTTAAATTCATAAAATAGTAATTGTTCTTATGAAACCTTTTTGAACTCTTAAAAGCAGCATTAGATCACCATTGGAGAATTGACATGGGAATTAGTGACAGATCTGGGTATAATACAATTATAAATAATTATTCCTTTGGCTGATTCATTTAGAGATTAATGTTAACTCAGATGTTCAATTTATAGCAATTTTATATTATTGCTAAAGTCTATTATGTCCAATTCTATTATGTTTACTACATGATATTGTTTAAATTCCGATAATTTAAACTTATGTGGCAATTTTGTTCTAGTAAACTAAATTGTTTTCTTTCTTTTTTCAAATCAATGTTACATTGGTTAACAAATAATATTTTAAAAAATACTTTTATTAATGATTTCATTTTCAATTTGAATGAAATTAAATCTATTAAAAGTAAACGATAGTTTAAAAGTAATTCAGAAACATCTTATCAATGTTTTATATTTGATAAAAAATTAAATTCTGAACTTAATAAGTTGCAATCTTAACTTTTATTTTTTAGAGTCCACAGTTTTGTTTCTGAGACGAAATCCAAATTCTTGAACACTAAAAGAAAGCCTGTTCTTCATGAACGATCTCAAGTTCAATACAATAGCGTTGAAAGTTTAGGTAATTATTATTCAAATTGTATTAAAATGTTAATTAATATTTTTGTAAAAAAATTCGATCTTATGTAATGTTTTTAAATTCTTAAAGGTCTATGCAGTAGACATACATCTTCAACTTTGTCTGATGGATCTTGTTCTGGTCTAGAAGTGAGATTTTATAAATCTCTTAGAAATGTTCAAGATGACAGGTAATATATGCATGATTTATGTTATCTTTCCCAGAAATAAAACTACATTGTTTATGATGAATGTGCAGAGATTGATTGGGCATACTCATAAACAATGTTTATGATGTGGCAATTGTCTTAAGCGGTTTTCTTTTTCTTTATAAACAGCAAATTATGTAAACTAAATTTGATTTGATTGTTACTGCCTCTCTAAAGTTACGTTAATGAGCTGTTAGGGATGGTCTGGAAGTCATTTCAAGACATTATCTGAAGATCAGAAGTAAATACCGGTGCATATGCACAGTATATTTTCATATTTCTGACCAGAGAACAGATAGTGGTAGTAATCACTCAGTTTTTTCACCAATCTTCAACCATGTCAACATTTTAGAGTAGATTCCAAACAACTAAATTAGGATTGGAGAAAGTGAAATATGAATCAACAGACAGGGACTCAAATCCTGACCAAGCCACAGAAGGCTAAGACTAACAACCATACATTTTATCTCTAAGGCAATGTTACTAACATTACATTTTATATCTAAGGCAACCATACTGATGAGGTTGATTACATGTTATGTGATCTAGAATAGATGGGTTTTTTTATCATAAAAAAAGTCCTATATGTTGTAATCATTCTACTAATTGATTACAGTATTTTCCATACATTAGGTACAGTAGTGATTGTACTAGTTAGTACAGTGTTTTCCAATGCAATAAAGCCAAAATGCAGTTTTCTTTTTTGCAACAGAAACTTATGGCATGAAAAATTGGATTATATAGTAGACTAAGGAAATTCTTTATAAGAATTTAGAATATAAGTAAAGGTGAAGGCTTATAAATATATTTTTGCCCAAGGCTTCTAATATTCCAGACATGCCTTGCATATTCATCTGGAAAACATTAATTCATTAAGATGCGCTTAAATCCTTGTAGAGCCACTACAAATCTGACAATTAAAAGAGACGTATACATAATGCCCTGTTCCTATTAGTTTTGCCTTCCTTTTTTTTACATTATACAGTGTTCAACTTTTCTATTTACTCTTGACATACAAAAAAAAAAAAAAAAAAAAAAAAAAAAAAAAAAAAAAAAAAAANAAAAAAAAAAAAAAAAAATCAATTTGCTCTACTAAAAGAGTATTGGCAAAATATTGTAATTAGTACTTCTGTCTCTTTTAAAGAGTTGCTTTTATTTATATTTTTAACTAGTTTTTTAAAAAATGTTAAGACTTCCGTATGGTGATCTGCGGCAGAATAATCGCCTAGCCTTGGCAACAGTCTGCGAGTAACTAAAAAAAATCACAGAAGTGGACCAACTCTAAAAGCATAACTTGTAGCCATCCCTGGGCAAACTTCTACATGTTTTTTCAAAGAAATTTGCAAATTGAAATTGAAAGCAATTGAAAGGGCAAAAATAGCTTTTACAACAACTATAATTCTAAGTAAAACTTTATCACTTTTGTAAAAAATATTCGAGTTCATTTATATAATTGAATGCAATTAATTAAAGTTTTTTTATTTTCATTGCAGAGTTGTTCTATTATCATCGAATAAAGTTCCTTACCTTATTTTTTCTTGCCTGCCATATGTTCGACAAGCCAATTCTAGGTAATTAATTATTTCAGTCCATTAAATATTTTATTCTGATCCATTCTAATTGATGAATGTACAAGTGTTAGTTAATTAATAAATACTGTTATTGCTTTTTTTTATTTTTCTCCTTGCAATATGATTTTTATATCTTCTATATTTTAAAGTCCCTTCTAGTTTCCAAAAAGATTTTTTTTTACTAAATATTTTCTTACATTGAAAAAAATAAAATTGACAATATTTATAACTATTTTAGAATTGACTTGAAATTATCTCAATTATTTCAGTTCACTGAGTTATTTATTTGTTTTTTTTTTTTAAAAAAAAGAAATGATTTTGTAGAAGAGTAAAGTAATTATTACTCTTAACATATAAAAATTTTATGCTTTTTTTTTAAAAAAGAAATAATTTTAATTTCATTTAACTAATGTCTGTATTTACAGACTTGATGATTTTGATACAATAAGGAAAGTATGACGCAGGAAATATTTTCTTAAGTTGAAGCTATTCATAATAATAATAATTATTAATAAAATAAAGAACTGTGAAATATTACTGTTTTAATTTGTTAAACATTGTCTATGCTTTTTTTTATCCACCTTAATACTCAATCTGGATTGAAATTACATCTAGATTTAGTATTATCTAATTCTATAAAATAATGAAAGAGTGCCAAAACTTTAGTTAATGAAAAATTCCCAGAATGATTCTTCAGTCTAGTTATTTTCTTTTTTCCATTTTTTTGTTTATATTTTACTTCTCTGTCGTGATTTTATAACTGCTTATGAAAATTTGTAATGCATACAACTATAATGGAACTGTTAGTTGACCCTATTGTAAAATTGTATAAGAATAGTGTCTTAATTCATACTGAATTCCTCTGGACAATATTGTGAAGAAGACAAATGTCTCTGTAAGTACAAATTATTCTCCTAAAGATTAAAATTTCCGTTTTGAATCATCAGTTTCAGGATAATTTATTTCCTTAAAAAACCAAGATTTTTCTGATGTATCTAGTACATTATTTTTAACATTAGTACATTTTTTACATATTAGTACATATCTAGACATACATTATTTTTATATTAAAATAATGTGGAAAAACTTCAGTTTGTAAAATTTATTTTTTAATACAGGACCTAAATTTAATTTTTATTTAAAATTTTACATAGTATTTTGATTTGCATAATTGCTAATTATTTCTTTAGGGTGGCATTACTGAGTTATTGTTATCATTTAAATTTATCAATTGTATTTCAAATAATCTACAATTGTAACTATGATAAATTTCAAAGTGCTTAGTGTTAACTTATTTTCTACAGAGCTGATAACAAACAAGAAAATATCCGTCGGCGCCAGGCCTCTGGAAATCGACCCCTATCTGCAATAAATGATGAGGCAGATCCATTAAATTTATTAGCAGCCTTGGGGTACCGTCTCTATGATGGACAAGTAAGTCATTGCTTAATTTGAAATATAATTATTTTATGATATCTCACTTTCATAAGTATTATAAATTAACACTTAAATTAAATGAATTGTTGATAATTTGACATTTTTCTAATTTCTCACTTTTTATTACTGTAATTATCCTCAAATAAAGTTTCAATGACATTTTTTTCACAAAAGAATAATTTTAACTATCACTGTTTTCATCTAAATTGAAGGCGTTGGGCTCATGTAATGATAAGGTACATTTTTAAAAAGTTTTTATTTATTACTTTTAATCCTTAAGTAAAATATTTAATAATCTAACTAGTTTAATGATGAAAAGACATAACAATGCAGTAAATTCTAACAGCATACTTACTGGCATTATCTTTTATAAAAAAATTATACTTTTATATGCATCATTTTATGTTTTTATGAAATTGAGTATTTGCTTTCTCAGTCATAAAATCATATTGGTATTATATAAAACTCAGTCACTCAACAGCCCATAAAGAGCCAAGGATTACTATGCATATCTCAGTTTTCTTGTGCTCTGGGATGCAGGAGCAAGTTTTTCGGTTTGGTAGTCAGCCAAATGCGGAACCACCTGTGTTTAGCCCCCAAGCATGTTTGTTACACATTTTATCAACCCACTGAAGGGATGAAAGGCTGAGTTAACCTTGCCCGGCCCGAGGATCGAACCCAGGACCTGTGGCACGAAAGTGTGAAGCCCTACCACTTGGCCACCGGGTGTCTTGATATTATACACCTCTTCTAAAATGATTTTTTCCCTTTAAACTACATTAAATTTTTACAACACTATTCTTTGTAATATATACATATTAGTTTTAATTTTGAATGGGCATACAAGAGAAAAGTGCATTTTTTCAACTTAATGCAAGACTGAAAATTAACAGTAATTCAAGACCACCAAAAATTCTACTAAAACCATCTATATTATGTAAAACGCTAATACGTATGTATCAATAAAACCGATGATATTTCTTTTCTCCTGTTGGCAACAGTTTTAATTTTTAATTGATAGGCTTCGGTGTGCAAGAGCACGTAATGAGCATCATTTGTCTAANTAATTTCTCACCTTTTATTACTGTAATTATCCTCAAATAAAGTTTCAATGACATTTTTTTCACAAAAGAATAATTTTAACTATCACTGTTTTCATCTAAATTGAAGGTGTTGGGCTCATGTAATGATAAGTTTTTATTTATTACTTTTAATCCTTAGTAAAATATTTCATAATCTAAAGTATGTTTGTTACATATTTTATCAACCCACTGAAGGGATGAAAGGCTGAGTTAACCTTGCCCGGCCCGAGAATCGAACCCAGGACCTGTGGCATGAAAACGTGAAGCGCTACCACTTGGCCACCGGGTGTCTTGATATTATATACCTCTTCTAAAATGATTTTTTCCCATTAAACTACATTAAATTTTTTCAACACTATTCTTTGTAATATATACATATTAGTTTTAATTTTGAATGGGCATACAAGAGAAAAGTGCATTTTTTTCAACTTAATGCAGGACTGAAAATTAACAGTGATTCAGGACCACCAAAAATTCTACTAAAACCATCATAAAGTAAATTATTAAAAATCTCAATCCCAACAATTGATCTGAAAGAATGGTATGCCGTTTTCGATTTTCATTTTGATTTCCAGTTTTTGTCACAAAATAGCATATTTCATCAGAATTGAGAATATTACACTTTCTCTGCACTATAGTTTTTCATTCAAAATCACTTAACTTTTTTTAAAAAAAATCTAATAAATATAAATGGGCAAGTGGAGATGTGCAAATTAGTAATATCTTTTAGTAACTGCTTTTTGGTTTAGTGATTTAATTTTCTTGCTTTTTAAAAAAAGTTCTTTCAGTGGAAGTTTAAAACTTTTTTTTGATGGAAAGAGTTCATCTACCAGAAAATTAACTTTTCAGATTCTTCCATTATATATATTAGCTGTGCTTTTGTGAAATAGTTTTTATTAAATTTTTGCATTTGAACTTATCATAAATTGTGGCAACAAAAAATTATACCAAGGTTTAAATTCATTCATGTTTTAATCAACACTTATTAATAAAAATCAAAATTTCTTTACTTGCTACCTTACAATTGCATCTCTATTATCATTGAAAAAAAAATTTCTGTAACATTCATTGATTTTTTTAAACTATGACTATAAAGCCCAAAATAAAAATTAAGTTAATCATACAAAAGAAATTTTATTTGAAAGAATTTTTCAATACATATTTTTTAAGAAAAATAATCTACAGGACATGCAATTATATTGTTTCTTTTATTTTGTACAGGAAGTTTCGTATAGTGGCCTTCTTTCATCATTTCAAAGCAACGCACAAGTCAAATATAAAATCCGTGACACTGATCATTTATCTATTCCTTGCCCTCATATGAGTCGTTGTCATTCCTTTGATCCAGCTATCTCTAATGTACATTATTCCAAGATGTCTAGTTCTCCTCCTTGTGGCTTTGACAGAGGTAATTATCTTTTGATTAAAAATTACATGGCCTTTAAAGACCAAGAAATCTGTAAAATTATTTTAAAGAATGGCAGTAGTTGTTGATATTGTTTAAAAACAGAAGAAAATATAATCAAGACTGATTTTTTTGTGTTTTCGCAAGTGAACGTATAACAAAACACTTATTAAGTTAGATGGACAAAAATATACACTCATGGACAAAAAATTAGCTCACCAAGAAGGATTCGTCAAGATTAAACGAAATTTTACATTTGTAATGACTACTTTGATGTAAGTAAAATGATTAGAAAATCAAAGATTATCGTTTTTCTTTGATTTTCTAATCATTTACTTATATCAAAGTAGTCATTACATACGTAAAATTTCGTTTCATTTTGACGAATCCTTCTTGGTGCGCTAATTTTTTTTGTCTATGATTGTATAATTCTTACTTGTTAATTTTATATTGTTGTATTGAAGGGCATCAGAAACAAATTAATGCAAAATCAATTGCCCCTTTATCTACTTAAGATGTATCATTGCTTTGAATTCACAACAATATTTATGTTTTCAGACAAATTATTTCTGGCTTTTGTGTCTACCCTTAAGCATCAGATTATGTTAATCTATGACTTTTGTGATAAAAGAATCAATAATATGTTATCTGCAAATTTTATTAACTAATTAGTTTAATTTTAATTGAAATTATTAAGAGTTAATTATTATTAGTTGTTAGTAGAATTCATTAGTTGAAGTCATTTTTATTTATTAAAACCTATGTAAAATAATTCAAATTTTCAAAGTCTAATAAATATGCAATGAATGCATTATCTGCACAATTTAAAGTTTAGACAAATTTCTACATTTTACTTAAAATTAGAAATATCCAGCATCTGGTATGCTTTTAGAAAATAATAAATCCTTCTACTTTAAATAGCTATGTGCTGGAACATCTCATTGTGGTGGAGAGATTTAAGGCTCCCATTTTTTGCATCAACAGTTTTCATGTCTTTTTTATAATGCTAAATTATTTTTTACTTAATTATTTAGGGACTAAGAGACCTTCATTACCATCCCCCACCTGTAGGTACATTTAAAAGGGGTACAGATGAGGGTGCAGAGTTGTACTGAAAGAAGCAAAATATTATTATTTGTTAGCATTATTAAGCTAAGAAAGCAAATAATAAATCTTGATAACTTTTATCATCATAAGAAATTTTATGTTGCTAAAGTTTGATTTGAAACATCCTTACACTTTTGATTTTTTTATATTTAATCGTGCGAATGTACAGAAAATAAACTTTCACTAAGGTCTTTTAAAATATAAGACTCATCACAGTCTATAAGTTTGGGCACCCTAATGTTAATTTCAAAGTGTCAAAATGCAAAAAAAAAATTTTCATATTATAATTATTTGATTTCTAATTTTCTCAATACAATTAAATATTTTTTTAATAAAAATCATAAGTTTTTTTATTACCTAATTTTAATTTTTTTTCCGAAGCTATGGATTGGTCTGAATCAAAATTTTGTCACCATACTTGTCTTGTAACATACACACCAAATTTATTAGATGATCCTGAACTTGTGACAGGGAAGCACAGTACTGTTCTCACCTTTTCATCTTACATAGTAAGTCAATACCCTATATTTTGCTAAGCTTATTAGTTATTAGGTAATTCAACTTTATATTGTATAATACTGGAATCTAAATGTAACAATAAATTTAGGGTTACAGTTTTAAAAGGTCGATAAATATTCTCATTGCAGAGTTATGTAATTTCTAATTTTGCTTTCACTTGATCATATTAGTCTTCTTTTTTTTTAGAAAAACGGTTCTAACTATGTTGGATCACTGCTGCTTGTTTTTGATTCCTCCCTCTTTTAATAAACATTCTTTTAATATTTTCAGTCATCAATCATTGATTATGTTAAACCATCTGATCTCAAAAAAGAATTGAATGAAAAATTTAAAGAAAGATTTCCCCAGATACACCTTACTTTAAGTAAATTAAGAAGGTTAGTACTTTTATCATAATATGTAAATAAATATAATTATTTTGTATTGTAAATATTTAAATCATGTGTAATGTTCTTCAAGAACATATTTTAATTTTAACATGGCAAAATTCATCTTAATTTATAAAATAAGCTATCATAATTTCTAACAAAATAGTAGCAAGTTGAAAAACAAAACTATGGGACAATAATTAATAGTACAATAAATTGAAAATTAGAATTTGTTGTTTAGATTTTGAAAATATGCATTGTTAGGACTCAGGACTTCTAGATTTCTGGGTCCCTATTCAAAATGTGAATTTTATACCTCTTTATCCATCTATTAATATGCACATTAATAAGAAGAATGCATACAAAGCTAAAAAAAAAAATTTGAACTATTAAGGCTTTTCATTAAAACTGATGAAGGAAAAGCAAAGAGTAATTTGGTACTAAGCAAAAAGTAATTAGGTGCTCAGAATTGTTTTAATTTCATTTTCAGCTAATAATGAAGAAGTAAAAGAATTTTCTGTAGTTTTATTTAAAACTTGGTTATAATTTTGCATGTGTAAGTCTTCTGGCGTGATATTTTTCATGCTGAAGAATTACATGTCCCTTTACGATTTTCAGCATATGTGATGCACATAAATCGAATCACTATACATTATCGAATTAAGTCTTAACACACTACAGTAGAGTGAAGTCACATTTGATTTTACTTATCCCCAAAAAATGCTTTGTAAATTTGAAGAAATTTAAGAGCAAGATAATATTAAATATCGGTAAAAATGAACATTAGTTTTAAATTTCAAAATTATTATAAAATTAATCTTTCCATAGTTATTTTAAGATATAGATTTTGCTATTTGGAAAAGTGTACATGTAAAAAAAAAAATACTGTTTGGCAGAATTGTTTTGTACAAATTTGCTTAAAAGTTTTTAAAAAAAATTTATGTTTTTACTTATAATTTGATTAAATCTTAATGCTTTTATATTTTCTTCTTAGCTTGAAACGAGAAATGTTAAAAATTACACATCATGAAGTAAGTATTTATGTTTTATTGTCATATTATTAAATTCATAATTAAATAAAGTATGAAACTTTTTACAATTTATTGAATTTTTTAAAATTTTAGTGTGGAATTGATCTCCTTACAGTAGCACAAGCATATGTATTTTTTGAAAAGCTGATACTAAAGGTATTATTTTTAAAATATTGTTATTTATAAGTGACAAAATGCACTTTTATAATATTGCTAAAAACAGGGTGCGTAGCGTTTTTAAAAAGTGCTTAAAGGTGCTTATTTTCGATTTTTAAAAGCCCTTAAAGGTGCTTTTTACATTGGGTGTTTTTAAAAAGTGCTTAATTTTCCCTTTTTCCTTTACTTTGTAGATTTTTGCTTCGAAAATCAACATAGTATGCAAAAGCTTGCTTTTCAATTATGTTCTAATCAACGTTCTCACATTTAATGCAACCACAATCTATTTCAGCGTATTGTCAGTCCGTAGCATGTGAAAACGCCATTCGTTTTACATGATTCAAAATTTCATGATTTTTTACAACTGTCAAAAATAATGCCAAAAGATTTTTTATTTCTGACATAACTGTTAAAATGCCAATTGTCAAAAACTTTCCAACTAATTATAATATTAAAAATATTGTGCTTAAAAATATTTTTTGAGTGCTTAAAAGGTGTTTATTTTTTGTTGAATAATTTGGCTACGCAGCCTGGATAATTGTTTCGCCTATAAGAACAAATGATAACAAAGTTTTACTTTTTTGAGCAGTAATAAAATTAAAGCACACTTTCTTGTTTAATCAGTTGAAGCTTATCAGTTTAATCAGACATTTAAAATTTTCATTTGTTAATGAAATTTTGAAACTTAAATAAAACTAAGGCATCAGTATTAATTGGAATGAAATATTTTACTTTTGATAATATTTGAGTTTTGCAACTGATATTAACTTCTTGCTTTCTCATATTTTTAATATATATTTCCATTTTAATCTAAAAATTATGTAATATTTAAATTTATAGCCAAAAAATTCAATTTATGCATTTTCTTAAAAAAGTTTTTTTTGTATATAGCAGGTTAAGACACGGTAGATTTTAAAGGAAAAACCACTACAATTATTTTTAGATCTGTGTAAAAAAATAAAGTGATAATATAATTTTACTTAAGTAAAAACATTATGACAATGAGCAATTGCCCCATAACTTGCTTTAATTTGTTTCAATGTTGTTGTGCTAAGACGGAAAAATATCTTAGTCTAGGTTTTCAAATAATGGAATATTTTAATTTCAGGATGAGGAAAAATTTTAATGAAATCTCCAGTTTTTCATACAACCAACTTCTTTATATTTAGTTTCTTGTTTAAAAAAAAATCTACAGTAATTAATTTGAGAAGCATAAGTGTATTTATTACCGTAATTTATTATTGGAGTCTTATTATTAAACAATATATGATGTTTTTACATAAGTTTAACATATATTTAGAGGTAAAATAGATCTGGTAGTTAGATTTATGTAAAAGATTAAACTATTTTTTAACAATAAAATATAGCATACAGATATCTTTTAAAAACTAATCATTTATAATGTAAGAAACTTAGATAAAAACAGCACTCATTAGTATCAAAATATGGTATATAATTTCCTATAAGAACAAGTAGTATTAATGATTTTGTTAATGAATGCTTTCTATGTTGCTGTGTATCGCAGGTATTTTGTAATCCATGCTTTTATTGTATTTATTTCCATATAATGATGATTATGGAAAATCCAGTATATTCATATAATTAGTGTACATTTAAAAATATTGTATCTTATATTGCTTCATTAATATTTTGTTTTCTCATTGTCTCTTTATATGTGAATGATAACTTAAACGCTATGTATTTAGCTTAAATTCTAAGCTGAAATGAATATTGTAATTAATGTTTGTTTTAAAATTTTTTATTTAGATTACTTTACCAGCAAAAATATTTTTTTCTTCTTCATATTGTTAAAGTTTGTGTACCTCTTGTCAATTCTCTTGATTTATGTTTCTATTATTCAATAGATGCTGATCAATAAGCATAATCGAAAACCTTGTGCTGCAGCCTGTCTCCTTTTATCAGCCAAACTAAATGATGTGAAGGGAAATGATCTGAAGAATTTAATTGAAGTATGTATATTTTTAGCTGTTTTGTGTTGTACAATGAAAAAGAAAATGGCACATCTAAATATCCTTTCATTTTTAGATCAAATAATTTAAAAGTGATTTTGATGGTGTGATAATATACATTTAATAGCAATTTTCTCTAAAGCAAAGCTCAGTTTATATTGATTTTAAGTATGGTTACTTACTTTCTATCTGTAACATGTATTGTGTAAGATTCAAAATGTGAATTATTTAAAATGCTAAAAAAATTCCCAAATAATTTTGTGCATGAACAGAGTAAAAAGTTGATGCAGAAAAGATATGAGATCAATGGGTACACTTATATTGATTTAATTTACACTCTCTTGTTACTCAAATTTTAATGTACTAATTACTGATTGAACAGCCTCTGATGGTGTATTAAATTTTTAAATCAAAATTAAATTATTTTCATATATATTATATCAATAATGAAAAATTATTTTAAGTATTAAATTATAATTGAACTAATATATTTTTCAGACATTTATGAAAACTTAACCAATGTGACATCAAACTTCTAATATTGCATTATTCATAATAACATAAAAGTTCTTGAACTAAATAGGAAAATATAGAAGTGAATATTTTTAATACTTTAAAATTGCACTTCCATGATAAAACAGTTTTACAAAAGTTATTTTATTTAATAAGTTGTTGAATTTTTATGCATTCAATTAACAAATTTAAAAAATAAAACTTGAATAACTTCTTATTTAATGATAAAATTTTCATATATTTTAAAAATTTTTAAAAGATTAATTTTTAAGGAGGAAATTAGACTCAAAAATGTACTATCTCTATTTAAACATACTCTTTTTCCTTACGAATTTATGACTGTCAAAATAGGGTCATTAGGGTAGTTGCAATTTGGAAAAAATATATATTATTAGTCTAGAGCAATAGAAAATTTGGACCTCTTAATTTTAGTTTTTGTGTATTTCCTATATCACTGGAGCTCACTGAAGAAACAAACTTTTGCACTTTATTTCAAAACTTGTTTCTCCAAAAATAAATTTGTATAAAATAAAATTTTTTTGGAAAATTTAGTATTTTTTATTATTATTTAATTTTGATATTTGTTAAAAAAATAATTGTGGCAAAGGGGTAAAATTGTTTCTGAGAGATAAAATTTCATTTTTGATTCACTAATTGTGAGATTCTATCTTTTATAATAACATAGTTTAAAATAATATAGAATTTTCTACGCCTTACCATTCAAAAATTTTAAAATATGTAATTATAAAAAAGTTGTTTCTTTATATGGAAATAAATAATTCACAAGTTTTATAATTGTGAGAAAAATGTTTCAGATTCATTAAGAAGCTTTAACTTTTGATCTATCTACTAAGTTATGAGAACCATATTTTTCAGATTGCCATTAACTCATTTTTCATTATAAAAAAAAATTACCATACTACTAAGATACTGAGTATTTATTTTTCAAATATCAGATAGTTTAAAAATATTTGAAGTTTATTAACAGTTCCCTAATTTAACTTGATCAATATATCTTTGTTATTAATCGAGAATAGTAAAAAAAAAAAATTTTGAAAAACAAGTATATTGGAAAGACTTTACAAGAAGAAATATTTTGTGATTCGAAACTTTATGGCTTGCAATTTTCACAGCTTTTTCAAAACAGAAAAATGATAGATGTCTTAAATTTTTTTTATCTATTAAGCTGATATTTGAAGACCTACAAGTTATGCCATTTAAGGTTAACGATATATTGTTTTCCATATTTATAGGCCCTTCCAGTTGGAGCAATTTTAGTGTATTGATTTAAAATTATGCAATACTTAGTTCTAGGTATCTACAAATATACCAAATTTAATTAAAATTCGAAATAGTGAGAGGGCCGAAAAATTAGCCCACTTGATTCAAAGCAATTTATATAGTTTTAAGTTGTTTTTTTTACAATGGTTATCTTAAGGAACTTTGACCAATACTAACAGTTGTTTAAAAAGAATGCCAATAAAAAAATAAATTGAATAACTGCAGTGTCATACAACATATAGTGTAGCTCAACTAAATAAAGCCATTTTAAATTTTTGCCTTAACCGGGTGCAAAGAAAACCAACAAGAACCCAACTTAACTCATTTCTACTCTACCACAACAGAGGAAAAAAAAGTAACAAGTAAAAAGGAAGGGAAAAAAAGAGTCCCGTTAAAATAAAGCCATTTTTTATAGCTAATGCATTTATATATGCCTTGATATCTATGATGTTGCATACTATTTATTAAACCTTGAAAGATATTAGCTTCAACAATGGTAGCCTTCAATACTCCCACTAAAACAGATATATGGTATATGCAGCCGTGCTAAGAATAATTCTCACATTTTCTTGGCAATATACGTCAGGTAAAAGGGCAGGTCATTCATGGCATGTATGCACCATATTATCCAAAATCCATCACTGTGAAGATTTTGCAATATAAATATAGGCATTCACCTACACGAAAATCTGACTTGAGCTACTAATTTTTCTGCAAATCATAATAAATGGATTTCTAGAACTTTTTTATTGTCGGCAGCCTCCATACAGCCTGAGAAATATGTTTACTACCATATCTTTAGCCTTCCCACTCAATTAATGAGCTTCTATCTTGCTGTGAAATGGGAAAGAAATCCACTTCTTTCCTCATGTCATTGTAACAGCACACTAAGTTGTCCAAGTCATCTTAATTCTTTTATTTTTCTACTCTCTTTTGCTTGTGGGTAGTTTTCAACAAGTGCTACTTATAATTTTTTTTTATAGTGCAAATTTCTTGCACGATAGATAAAGCAAAACAGTAGATGAGAAAATCTCTGTATGGGCAATAATGTGGAGGCTCATGAATGCTGTAAGAAGGTTTCAGCTATGTTGGTAAACTGCACATAGGCTTCCCCCAAGGCTACAAGTTGACAAAGTATGCTAGAAACTCATTTACTGCCATTTGAAACGAGAATTGCCAACCCAAGTCTGGTTTTTCAAGCAACATAATGCCTTCATTTATACTGTAAAACCTATCCACATCTGTTCCGACAGTCAGGCTGCTCTCCTATCACTATCAAGGTGCTAATTCACCTCTTCACCAGTGTGAAAGTGCTTCTCGGTCCACTGTGACCTCTCTACTCACAACAAGGTATACCTACATTGGGTACCTGAAAATATGGACATTCTTGGAAATGAGCTGGCTGGCCCTAAACCAGTCTTGGGAATTTCTCTCACATCATTCAGGGCATCTATATTCAAGCTCTATGGCAAAATTGCCCCAGAGCAATGGTGCAACTCGGATGGTCAGAGACAAGCTTAAGAGCTGAATCGTGACTGTCCTAGTGTACGTCAAAAAGAGCTCCTTAAACTAAACAGGAATAGTTTGAGGAAGATCATTGGTCTTCTCACTGGACATTGCACTCTCAGGAAACACCTATACATAATAGGTATCGAATCTAATTATCTTTGTCGAGGTTGTCATCCTGAAGAAGAGACTTCACGACATATACTTTGTGATTGTGAGGTCTACTCTGCTCTAAAGTTTGAGCATTTAGGGCAACATTGCATTGAGGCCTGGAAAATGCAATATGTTCCTGTTTGCTGAACTTCATTTCAACTATGAGGCTTTTTTGGTTTGGGCATAATAGAACTCTGATTGATGTGACTTGCCCAACGTCTAAGTCTATGCTGCAAAATCTTCCAATTGGTGATTTTTGGATAATAGAGTAACTCATGAATTACTCGTCCTTTTTTATGACCTCAATCCCCAAAAAAATTTTTAAGAGCTATTCCAATAAGGCTCTAATACAAAAACAAAGTCTGTGAGAGAATTGAAGATTGCTGTCAATGAAATATAACAGAATATTACTCACTATCTTTTATAAGCATTGCTGTTTTGAAGTATTATTTATAAAAAAAATATTTGATTTTTTCCCCCCAAATGATTCATGTTATCTATTTATTTATAGAGAATGGAAAGTGGTTTCAGATTAAATCACAGAGAACTAATATCTTGTGAATTTGGGGTTCTAGTGGCTCTTGAATTCTCTCTACATCTACCCACTTGGGAAATTTTCCCGCACTACCAAAGACTTCTCTATGAATCTTAAAATCTTATGCTATGTTCTGTTGCAGTGCAACCAGTTATAATTTTCATTTGTATACAGCATTATCAGTGTCATTAATTCTGTGATTTTTAAAAATGTACCCAATAGCTGGGAGTTCTAAGAACAAACAGCTATGGGTGAACATTTATTTATTTTTATTGTGATGTTTATATATTTGTTTTGTTTAAAATGGATATAATTAACAAAATAAAATTTTCTCCAAAATATATGAAATAATTTTCAAATGATAACTGTAACTATCAAAATAAAGCAAATTGGGTGTAATTTTGAATAATTAATTTGTTTTATTTTTAAGAGTGCTATATTACACGTGAATAAAAAGAACTTTAAAGATAGATTTAACTTTTTAAATAAAATTAGCACTTTACAAATGGTAGCTGTAGCAAGTCTAAATTATTGTGGTTTGTTAGGAATGTGTAAACTTTTTGAACCTTAAAAATTTTCTCTCACATGATTTCTTATAAATTAAGATTAAAAATTAAGTTGACTTTAAAATTAAATGTGTTTGTGAAGTTCTTTATAAAGGACATATATTTTCTAGTCTCCTTTTTTATTAAAATGCACATTTGTGATAGTGGCAAATTACTACAGTATTTTGTTTTAAAAGTGCAAGCTATTGCTATATGTTTGTGTTACAATTAAAATTATGTGATACAATTACTATAATTATGATGCCTACTCCTGACAAATTCTGTATGCCAGAATGGGTGTTAATTATTTTTGATATGTTAAATGAGAATAGGGTATACTTTGTAACTTATGAATAAAGGAAAATAACATGAATAAAACACAAATAAAGATATAAAAATGGGCATACTATAGGTTTGGTTTTATAAACAAGAACCTTCCTTGTCCTAACACAAAATAGTTTTTTGCGTTGAAACACTGGGGGAGTTTCTTATTTATAGAATTGAAATTATTGAATAACTTTTTAAGTAAAATTGAAATAAAATTAAATTAATAAATACCTATTTCTGTATCTTTATTTGTGGTTTATTCACATTTGATTGTGACCGTTTAAAACATCAGTTTTTTGGACTGATAGAGCTTTATACTAACGTCTTTAAGTTTTAATGTTAATGAAAATTAGGAAAATGTTAAATAGAAATTATAAGATGAATGAAATGTCAGCTATAAAAGACGAATTTTAAAGTAAATGAATATTAGCATTTAATACAAAATCTGTTAATTGAATTTTATTATTAAAAGTAATTTTAACAAAAATTAGGATTAAGCTATTTTTCCAAAATATTTAGTTCACATCTTTAAATGTTAGAAATAGGTTTAGCAAAGCAAAGAATATTAAAATTTTTACATAATGAAAATATCACTTAAGCAATATTTTAGAAATAGTGTTTAAAATTATTAAGGCAAGTGTGATATATATGCACAACTAGTGATAATGCTTAGAATAATGGTGATGCATTTTGTGATTTTTATAACCTAAATATTTTTCATTTCTGACATTCCAGTGTTATTTTTAAAATTGCAAAAAAACATTTTATCAAATGAATGGATTATCAAGTTTTTAAAAATATTATCTTCTCTAGTTCATTATTGATAAGTTCTCATAATTTTCATAACCATAATAATTAGAGATATTTACAATAAATAGTAAACATAACCAATAAAATTTAACTCAGGACAATTTAATCTTTTTCTTTAAAAAATAGTTGTACAAAAAAGTGTACTAGCCTTATTAATCAGGTACATGCTTCTTACTCATGAAAAAATTACATTTAATCGATACAAACATGAATACTGATTGAAGATTAATTTAAATTTCAACTAGTAAGGATATGCAAAATTTTTTAAAAAGTTATAAAAGGAAAACTTATAAGTACAGTTGAAGTAAAAGTGCAACATGCATATTTATCAAGTCTATTCATTTGATTAAGAGTATTTTTTTGCTGCCTACATAATTTATGTATGTGAAATTTTATTTGTGTACTTAATTGTTTATTTTAGGAAATAAACATTTTTAAAGAACAAACTGTTTATGTTTGATTAATGGTTGTAAATAATAAAAATAGTATATTCTTTTATTAGAGAATATATTTTAGAATGTGCTATTTGTTTAAAATGTGAAATAGTAAAATGTACTTATTGTTTCATCTGTGTCTTCAGTTGTTTGTGATGTATTTGGCTATAGTATCTTTGTTTTGACATGTAAAATATTTTCTTATATTAATAAAAGTAATTTTTTTACTAAAAAACTGAACATTTTTATTTTCTAAAAAGCATATTCATTAATACCAGTGATTTTAAATATGATTATGAGCAAGAATGTGATTCTAATAACAAATTTCTGGCCCTTAAAAAAAATTGAGAGGACAGAGATAAAGAAAAAAAAATCTAAATAAAACTGCACTATGAATAAAAATTTGTGAATTACCTTTCTGTGGTTATTCACTAATATTTCCTAAGTTTCATTATTTATTGAACATTTAATTTGATCGAATTCCAACCAAAAGACAAACTGGAACTTTAATGTTCTGTTAAAAAATGTAACTGTGTTTTATACTTACAAATCAGAAATTAACTGTTTTAATTGAAAATGTGACTCAATTTTTAATGCAGCCTAAAATTTTTTATAAAAATAATAAATTTGGGAATCTTTGGTCAACTATTTTGAAACTTATTGAATTGTTAATCAAATTAAAATGATATAAAATAAACTATAAAGAAATTTAACCTCCCAAAGATATATTACAGCATATTCACCAAAATAATAATTAAATTAATAGCTCCCCAATTCATCGTTACAAAAAAATTTTTAAAAAATTATTAAATTACAATATTTAAATAATTATAATAGACAAATTACTTAATACAGGGAAATTTAATTTTAGAGAATTAAGACTTTTAAACGAAAACCAGAACTTTTTGTTTAACTTTTACAATCGTGGAAAAGTGAGAAATTGAAGCTAGTAAAACTTAAAAGAAAGTCTCAAATTAATAAAAGAAATTTAGAAAAATTTGTTCTAAACTTTAAGAAATATTGTATAGTTTTATCACTTTACTTCATTCTCTGTAGTTATTCTCTGTTATTCTTATAGCTTAATGGTTTGTTGAACTGTCTATAAACACATAGTAAAATAAAAAAAACTTGCAAATACTGTATTCTAGTTATAAAAACATATAGTGATACCTTACTTTCTGGACACTCCTAACATTATGGACTGTTTTTAAAATTATGGAATTTCAAATTATTTAATCATAGGTTAAATAATTCTGAAGTAATTTTTAATTTAGAATTAAATTAAATATATTACATTTAATAATATATTTTCTATTAATTTAAAAAAGCATGGAAATAATTTCTTTTTGTATAAAATAGCTTCACATGCTTTTCAAATTTGTTTCCTTCACGATTTGGATCAAATTTTTTTTCATATTTCCTCATTCTCAAACCTGAGAAAACCAAACATGTTTATTAAAAATATTTTTAAGACCTTTGTTTTTCTGAAACTTCATCGTAAATTTATACATAAATTTGTTCAATTATACAACTAATTTTCTAAGTTTGAGTATTGAGAAACAAATATCTGATTTTCATTTATCCTTTCTTATCAATCAATAAACAGCTTACCTTAATTATTCTTCCATTTTCCTCTGCTAATCTTGTGTTTTCATCGCCAGCTTCTTTATTATTTGATTTCAATTGAAAACTTCGTGATGTATAACCACTTCTTGAGTGAAAAGGCCTTCCATATTTTCAATTTCTTTATGTGTACTAGCATAAAATAGTCTTAGGTGTAGACAGATCATGTGTTAGAATCCCCTAGCAGTCGAAATTTTCCTCTCCATGTAACACAAATATAGAATGTAACACAGGAATTCCCTTGTCATCTAAATTGGGTGTAAAATTACAAGACTATGGAGTTGTACACTGATGAACTCAGAATTGGGTCAGCTATTCAATACCAGTTATATTTTTCTTATGTCTTAGAGAGAAAAAGTTCTGCACACAAAATTAGTTTAATATCACATTTATATTGAACAGGTTTTTGTATGTTCATTTGAATTGCTTCTATATATTAAATTTCTGTGAAAGCACAAAACAAAAAATAATTAACTTTATTCTTTTTTTTTATTATTTAAGCCAATTTTTTTATTATTATTAAAGACTTTTTTTCGTAATTCAAAACTTTTGCTCAAGATTTAGAAAGAAGTAGATTTCAATATTAAAATTCAGTTAATAAGATTAAAAATATTTAATAACCTTCAATGCCATAACTACAAATAAATTATGCATTTATTTTAATATTCATATCAAATAAATCTTTAGTAAGTCAACAAAGAGCTGTCCGCAAGTTGAAAGTTTTATTAAAATAAGCACTCCAGCAACAGCTAGTAATCAGCCATAGAGATTAAGGTTGCACAATTTCGAGACTAATGGCATGATGTTACCATTAGCCATAATGAATTCATAATCAGCAGCCACCAAAGAAAGAATCTAAGTCCTTCACAATGATAGCAGTGGCATCACAGTTCAAAAATTTAATTAGAGTTAGATAAAATAAACAAATAATTTAATACCATATTTTACACTATAAACAAAGGAATATTTATAAGTGTAAAATATTGAGTACCAAATTTGCCTCAGAAATTATCAATTTCAAAACTAATTTCGGAATAAATATAATTAAAAAATATTGATATTAATCTAACTTAGGAATTTTATCAACAATAAAAAATGATTCTTTTTATTCTAGAAAGCAAAATTAATTTGCACTTATTACTTTTGAAAGATTACTACTTTGAGACTTTTTTTATACAGATTGTATATTAGATCATTAATGCAGAATTATTAAATTAGTCTCATTTAGTCGTGACAAGTAAAACATACATCCGTAACGTGAAAAGTGTTCAGAAGTTAAGGTCTCACTGTTTGTTTTTAAAACTAGAATACAATACTTGTGACATTCATTCAAACTTTAATTATATTTGTTCAATCTATAATTTATAAGTCAATTTTTTACAAATTTACATCTAAAAATTAAAGTTAAATACAACAGGCAAGTTACTCTAGGTTCATGACTAAAAATTTAAAGTCACTTATAAATTGACTGATTAACATATTAATGGTTTAACAGAAAGAGAGAACTCTTGACTAATATACTAAAGAGTGAAAAGATTTTTCCTAAGAAACTCAATTCAAGTAAATTCTTACTTAAAATCTGAGAAATCATAATGAGAATATTTTTAAAACTAATCAGAATAAGTAAGAATAAAATGAACTCAACTATTAAAGACAGACTAATAAAAAGACTGCATAGACAAGCTTAAGAATTTTTATAAAGTTGCAGTGTCAATCCTATGGCAAATTACCTCAATTTATTTAAAACTTCACATTCATATTCCAAATAAACTGTAACAGATACTAAAGAATTGCAAAGGAAAAAATGGCTTAAAATTGAAATTAATTTAAAATTGTTACCAACACCGTGGAATTATTACGTAATTCAAAATAAAATGGATACATATATAGAAACATTGTGGAAAATGCATAATTAGAAAGTCATATAAATGTGTCACAATATCAACTTGAAAAACTATTGTTTAACAGCATGGTTTTTTTTTTATAGTTGCATCATAATATCAATTTGAAAAAGCTATTGTTCAATGTATTGATTTTTATAATCCTAATAAAAAATTAATACTTTTGATGATCAGGAAAACACAAAATTATTATAGATGGCTGAAATTAAATAAAGGAAAAATAGTCCTAATATTATTAATTGTATATATTTATATTAAAATAAGTTTTAAAATTAGTTCCAATAGAAATCTGAAATTCATTATTTGATATGATAATTTAAATTAACCTAATTCAAATTTGAAAAGGATTTCGCTTTTAAATATTAAAATTCAATATCATTATTTTAATCCCAATTGAGTTTAAAGAGAGAACAGGGCGCATAGCCAAATATCTCAACAACAAAAAAAAATAAGCACCTTTAAAGTACTTTTTGAGCACTCAAAAAATATTTTTAAGCACTATATACATTAACAAAATGCAAAATAGTTTTCAAAGACTTTACATAATTATGATAAAATAACTAGTTTCTGACAAAGAATTCTTTTCTTGATTACATTAGTCACAATAAGAAGTCTGAAATTGAGAATTCTTTTCGGTTCGATTTCAGAGGGTAGAAAATGCATAATACACAGCGAAAATCGACACCATAAAGGAAAAAATCTGATTTTCAAAAGGGAAAAATTTAGCACTTTTTAAACACACCCCATGAAAAAAGCACCTTTAAGCACTTTTTAAAAGCGCTACGCAACATGGAGAATACTGAAACTTCAATATTTATCCTTTATTTCTAATATATTTAAGTATAAGTTCAATCAAACTTCAAGATTTTAAGGACCTTATTAGAATTTTTTAAAGACCTAAATTTTGAAAAGCATCAAAATTTCAAACTAATACTCAACAGCATCCCTAAAATAATAAAATGAAATACTGGGGCAATGTTAGTTGCTTCAGGAATATAAAATAGTTGACTGAGGCATAAAATAATTTCCCTCCTCTAACATATTCTTACATATTGATACTTGGATGGTATAAATAATCCAAATAATGTACTTTTATCAGACATTAAAACTTTATAACATGACAATAAGATAATTTTAAATGGATAAAATGTAAAAACCTTAAACTCAATCTGTTGAAAAAGCATAGATATCATGTAATGTAGATGTTTTCAGAAATTCTAAAAAAAAATGAATTAATATTAGGTGGACCAGAAAGTAACGTCGTTTCGATGCATTTGATATTTGTTATCAAGATCTTATTCTTAATCAATAATGTTAATCACCCTCGTTAACAACAACCTTTCAATGCCGGATCGAAAATGAATTTAAAAAAATGAATTGGTTTTTAAGACTAACGAATATTTAATGTGCCAAAACGACATTACTTTCCGGTCCCCCATATAAATGAATAAAATAAAACAAATAAGTAAAATAAGGAAGAAGTACATATGGAAAAAAATTTGCATGATTTCTAAAAAAGTGTTAGAATTCTATAAATGGAAACAAAATGTTATAGCCTTAATAGGATATTATATTTAGATATTTTAATTGCAATTTGTTAAAAATCCATTGAAATCTCCATTGAAAATATAATTAACTTTGGTAGAAGAGCCAAATTTTATAGTTGCTTTTTTGTTTCACAAAATAATAATAAAAAAGATATTTGACTTCTTCAGAAAACGTCTAATGGAAACAGGTTGAAGCTAGCTAGAAAATAAAATGAACACACCTATTTCTACACTTAAACAATAAATTAAAAAATAAAATTTAATTTTTGGCTATTAGTTAGATTAATTTGCACTCACTTTGCTGTATAAATAATGAGAGCAATTTATCACATATATATACATATAAATAATAGACAATAAATGTACTATGGTAAACACAACACCAAATTAAAGCCAAGCATCTAGTCCCATTTTTAAAGGCTCTGTCTTTAAAAAGCTGTAGCAGGAATGTCAAGTAATTTTGATTTAAGTCAAGTAATGTGGCCAGCCCTGAGCTGTTACTCAATCTCTCTAAGCTATTAATATAGACATAATTTCCACTTTCAGTAAATATAGGTTACACAACCCAAAGAAATCTCGAATATGTTTAATAACAAAGTTGAGTTTGAAGAAGGAACTTAAAATAAATTTTGCTTTCTTATGTATTCCAATATAATTTCTTTCAATTGAAATTTCTATTTTAATTTAATTTGTAAGGTAATAAATTCATTCCAAAACATAAGTTACTATGGTGGAAGGATATTCAGGGTGCCAATTTATATTGAGATGGAATAGGCAGGTGTTGTAGGAGGGTGTATGGTATAGTGGGCCAAGTTGAAGAATACTGACAAATTGAAGATTGTGATGATAAAAACAGAAGATGATGAAAATTAACAGTTGAACCGGATCAGAATTAATAAAAAGCTTTTATTTCATATAGTTGCAGAGCTCGAGATACAAGATAATAATATTATTCAAAGGAATTTCAGTTGAATAAGTTTTGCATACCAATATTAATAAGGACAGGCCATGGGAGACAATTCCCCCACGACCTGCCTAAACTAAAGCCAAATTAAAAAGTACATGTAATTTGTTCCCAACGGACACAGAAGCATGGGTAGGAGATCCAAAACTGGCGATTTAATAAATTATAATATAGTCAAAACAAAGCCAATTAGCATATTAATCAGGGCTCGAAAAAACTCAAAAATTTTACCCGTCCCCGAGAACGGCTTGTCCAACAATGTACCCGTCCTCCTTTGAAACTAACCCGTCGCTTCTAAATAAATAAAAATATAATTTTCTCTTATTTATTACAAACATTTATATAAATTGCACAGTGAATTAGTAGTTACTAGGATTACAAATACTAGGTTTGCATTATACAGTAATAAAAGGAATACTAGGTTACTAATAGGAGTCTATCATTTCTTTTATAAAATAATTTATTTCTTTTATGAAATAATTTATTTCTTTTATGAACTAATTTATTTCTTTTATGAAATAATTTAAATGACAACTGTCAAGTTATCTGGAATGTCAATTTATCTGAGGGTACTGCGTTTTTTAAATGAATCAAATATGACGTTTGCCAGTTCCACAATCAAGCCAATGATTTACAGAGGTTTCT